TAGTGGAGGCTGGGACCCTGCTCTGTGCAGGCGAGAAGCCATCTTGATGTGAGTGGTGCAGTGCTGGGCTGAGGAGAGGCAGCAGGACACAGACCTCCTCTGGGAGCTCATGGCTGCCCCGAACTGTTCCTTGGGGTAAGGGAGCTGGACCGAGCTCCGCCTAGCCAGAGAGAAGCCTCTGAAGCTGGGCTTGCTTCCTAGCCCTTGTTCCTGCCCTTACCTTCCTCCCAGCCTCATTGTTGTGCAGGTTCATGAGCGCTCGGCTGGAGGAGATGCCGCGGCTCCTCTCAGGGTTGTCTACGAAGGCTTGAGAAAAGGCAATCCCGTAAGACAGGTTATCAGAGCAGCCTGACCATTGGAAACCTGCAGAGGAAAAGCAGCCATGAGATGAAGAAGGAGAAGCCCCAGGAGGAGCTCCCAAAGGGCTGAGGGCCATGTAGAAGACAAGTGTCTCCTCCCCTGGTTGAGGGTCTTCCCCATGGATCTTTTCCTCTGCCACTCCCTCCCTGCCACCAGCCTCCTCCTTCACCTTCGGGGCTGACTCCTCGGATCTTACGGTCACAGCCACACTTCTCCAGCTCCCCACGGCTGCAGGCACGAGTCACAGCAAAGGCAACACCGGCAGCAGAGATGGCGTGGATGAAAGCAGACTCCCGCGTGCCTGCGGTGGGATGAGAAATGGCACTAGTCTGCAGAGGGAGAAGGCACTGATGGGACACGGGGAGGGGGTGGGGAAAGAGGCTATGAATGCATGCAGGAAGGATGCATGCAGATGGAGTCTGCTCAGGAGAAGTCGCTGTCAGGATGTTCAGCCAGTGCTGCTGTTCCTGAGGCCTGGAGCCAGTAAGGGAGATGGCTCTGTGGGATCCTTCTGGCTCAGCGCCCTCAGCTTGGCACTCTCAATTCCTGGGTCAGGTGTCCCATTGAGGGAGAGAAGTCAGCAGCCCCCAAGGGAAGTGAAAGGGGAGCCATGGTGGGGGATGCCAGGGACTGAACCTCCCACACAGAGGGGTTTGGCAGGGAGGACCCCGTCACCTTGTCTCTAGGAACCAGAGGGACTCTGCTCATAGCTCCCTGTATGGCTGCTCCTGTGCAAACACATGCAAAATCTGTTCCGTGCTGTTTTGGGGGCATAGGCAGACCCTTTTAACCTGGTCTGCAACAAAAATGGGCTGCAGTTTCAGAGAAAAAGGTTTTGTTCGAGCTGCTACTCCAACAGGCTGGCCTGGTGGCAGAGTGGGGGAGATCTACCAGTCTGCAGAGCTGGTACCCAGAATGGTCCAGATGGGACCGAAAAGCCAAGCCTGGCTGAATGAGGAAAAAGTTTAGCCAGAATATTAATATTTGTAACAGCATGTGCATTTGATTCAGTTTGCTCTCTGTTGACATCTACATTAGCATGTGGAGGAAGGCACGGGCCACTCTGGGGCTGGGCCCAGTGTGACACTTGCACACTAGCTCAGGAAAGGCTGATGTGTCAAGGGGACCCCATGGGCATACTGAACGACCCCCATGCCAGCTCTGCCTGCGCTGCCTCCCCCTCGCTGACCTTGGATGGTGACCTTGCCGAAGACCTGCAGCCCCTGCAGGGTGGAGCAGTTCCACCGGCGAGAGTGAAACTGGTGCTGGCATTCCTCGACAGCCAGCTCTGCGCCTCGCTTCACTGCATCCATGGCTTCCACCTGCCGCTGGCAAACGCGGACCTGCTCTTCTACCAGCCCCATCAGACCCTTGCAGCCAGCGGGGTCCCAGAGGACTGCCCGCAGAGAAGGCTGCTTGGCCAGGTACCTGTGGGGCAGGGGAGAGATTTAGTCACAGATGGGCTAGAGGCAGGGCCATGTCTGCGGGGGACTAGCCCTCTATAGCCTTATTTTAGAGCAGAAACAGGGCAGGGAAGGGAATGTGCCACCTCTTGTCTGTGTTGAATTGCATATTCCTGGTCTGCATCTCTTCAGCTTCACCATCCCTCTCCCTTCATGCTCCCAGAGATGCCCCTCCTAATGTACTGCCTTTGGGTTGCCCAGGTTCCTTCTTCCACCCTTTTCTCATAGATCTGCCTGTTTTCTTGGGAGACAGCACCTCCCCAGGTGACTTTCCAATCCAGACAGTACAAGTGCAAAGCATACTTACAGCCAGGTCACGGCAAGGACGTGCTGCACAGGGATCAGCACCACGTACAGCCACACCATTTCCATCCTGTCCCCAGCAAACCTCCACCTTCAGCCACGGTGCAGCAGCCACCTGAGTAGTCCCCTCCTGCGACTTCCCACTGCCTCTGCCTGACAGTCGCTCTCACAGCAGCTCCGGCCCAGCACTGCAAAGCACGGGTAGCCCCTGCCCTGGGCAATGACCATGGGCTGTCCCCGTGTGCCTGCCAGCATCAGAGACCCGGTGGCCCGCAGAAACCAGGCAGGTTGGCCCTGCGAGGGCATCCACGCCAGTGCTGTTCCCTACCTACAGCTTGGGCAGCATCACGGGAGAGCTCTGAACTAGGGCTCTGGGATGGGCATCCGTCGGAGGGAGCTCACATGGCTGGGGACAGCATCAGTGTCAGACCCCCGGTCTCTGCCGTCCTGTCAGGAGACGATCTGGTTGTCTTCC